TCTGGTGGGTGTGGGTCAGACTAGAAGTGAGCCCCTGCTGGCGTTTCTGAGAGGGGCTGACCAGGACGCAGGGGACAACCCGGCCTCACGAGGCTTTATGGGCTGACCTGAAACGGACAAAGCACTAAGTATGCATGGGTTTTGAATAGGAAGGTTTGTTTGTTTGCTTGTTTTTAAAAGAATGATTTATTTAATTTTATTGATTATTTTTATTTTTAGTGACCAGAGAGCGAGCGAGAAAGGAACAGGGAGGGACTTGAGCTGTAGTTGGCCACGTGCAAGTCCAGCGCCCCCAGCTACTAGCCACCGGCCAGCCCCCGCTTTCACTTATTTTTTATGCCAGAGGGCACATTCTTCAGTGAGCCTGGTCATGCCACAACCCTTTCTTCTCCACGTCCTAATCCATCAGGATTCTGGGCGTGTGCATGTGTTCCAGGTGTGTTTCACAACCTCTGGGGCTGGGCTCGAACCTGGTCAGCCCGGTGGGATCCAGCTTCTTCTGTGCACACTTAACCACTGTGTTACTGGGCCTGCCCACTTCAGTTAATTGGCTCAGTTCCTGTTCTTGAGAGAAGTTCTTGAAGGTCGTATTAATGAGAAAAGCACCCCTCCCATTTGTAGCATTTGGATTAGTTAGAAATACTGTTACTGCTACTGTCATTTGCCTCTCGTTTTGGAACCAAATGGAGCCACCTCAGCACCTGACCAGGTGGACAGACCACGGCAGAGCTGAGCGAGTCAGGCGCAGACCCCTGGCCCAGGCCACAGACAAGGCCCTGATGGAAGTAAGCAGAGGCCTCTCCTCCCTGGCTGTGATGAGGGGAGCAGGTTCAGAGAGCCACCATCCAGAGCCTCTGCCAGCCCTGGGGCTGGCCCTTTACCCAGGACGTAGCATCGGCCTTGCTGTAGACGGGTCTCTGCAGGTCCCGGCTGGTGCCCCTGTATTCATGTGTTGAACAGAAGCAAGTAGGGTAAGCAGACCCGCAACCAGGATCGTCACGCCATTTTCTGTAACTTCATTTCTCACTTCAGGTCCATTGTGGGTGTGAGGCCTTGTGGGGCATGGGGGCGGGGTGTGTCTCATTGACATGCTGCAATGACCAGGGCACCCCCTTTACTGTCAGGATGAGCCCTGCTCTTGCCAGAATGGTCCCCAGGCCCCGGGCTCTGCTCTGACCCAGCCCTCAGCCCCAGAGGCATCTTGACCCCTCTCCTCCCTCTGTGCTCTAGGCAGTTTCTTGCTTCCATGCCTTTGTACATTCTGTTCCACTGCCTGGATTGCACCTGCAATTGACCCCCACCCAAGCACCAGGTCCTTCTTAAGCCCTCAGCTCAGCCAGGGGACCAGGGGAGGTTTTTGCCCTGAGTCCCCCCATAGCACTTGGCATGTAGGCTGTCATAGAGTGAATATGAAGCCCTGGTGGTCCCCGCGTCGTCACACGGTTCCCCAGGTGGCTTCCATGGCAGTGGGTGATGCACACACACTTGTCGAATGAGCAAGAAACCACACCAGTACCAGGTGGTGAACCAGAGGGGTTCACGTACACACATGGCTGTTTTCGATGGTTTTGCCTTAGGGTGCATGTGCTTACAGGAGAGAGGCAGTGAGAGGGAGAGGGAGAGATCACCCCCCGGGGAGGCGGCCATACCACAGTCCCTTCTCCGTCCTCCTGGGATTTGGGGCACATGTGCACGTGTCTGAAATGATCGTCAAGCTGCCAGGTCCAGGACTCAAACCGTGAGGGACCATGCGGGGCCCAGCGCCTTCACCACACCATCTTTTACTTTACTCCCCAGGGTTATCATGCCCATTTGACCACTGGAGGACCTTGCCCAAAGCTTCACGTCATAAATGTCACACCCTGGAATGAAATACCGTCTGTTGACTCCAAAGCCTGCGTAGTTCCTAGTAAAATTAGGACTCTCCGTTCTGGGGTCAAAGACTAAGGTTTGGAGAATGAGTAAGGTTTATACATGTGAGCACAGGGGCCCACGGGCACATCGGGGCTGTCCCTCCAGTCTAGCAGTTAAGGCTGGTATTGATCCCCCACTCTTCCTGGATCTGTCCACGGAGTCCTGTGATCCTCAAGTCCATTTTCACTTCCAGACTGCGAGGGCCTTGGTGTCAGGGGTCGTGCTTCGTTGTCGCCAGGCCCCGTAGCCAGCTAGCACAGTGCTCGGCACAGACGGGTGCCCAGGAAGCACCAGCACCTCCTCACTAGCTACCAGCACCACAGAGACCGGAAAGAGAAGCCCTTTTTGTTCCTTTCCCTGAGCTCTGCATTCAAAGAGGGAGCTGGGGACTTTGGAATTTCTTGGGAAAAGCAAAACATGGCAGGGATGTGCCTAGGGCGGCGAGCATCCCGGGACAGCTGAGCTGCCTCTTTGCTGTGTGGCGAGGGGTCCCTACGTGCAGGGCTCGAAGGACACGCTTGACATGTGCGTTTGTCTCCAGGACACCTACGCTGCCTTCTTTAAGATCGACGCCGACAGAGACGGCATCATCGGCATGCAGGACCTGCACAGGCTGCTGACGCTCCTGCTGCTCAACCTCAAAGACGAGGAGTTCGAGCGCTTCCTCGGCCTTCTCGGCCTGAGACTCAGCGTCACTTTAAACTTCCGGGAATTTCACAGGTTGTGTGAGAAGAGACCCTTAGGAACAGACGATGCGCCTCAGAGACTCATTAGGTGAGAAGGTGGCCGGGCCCGGCATGTGCTGCACTCGCCGGCCTTTGCCGACATGCAGCCCTCGGAGGGGTCCCGAGAACGGAACAGTGATTCCTTTTCTTTTTCTTAGTTCTAGAAAGATCACACGCCACATGTGTATCCATGTAGACCAGACAGGAAATGGCATAGTCCCACCACCTGTGCGTGTCGTATTATTTCGTGGGTGTCATTCCTGTCTTTTTCTTATGCACATGAATTTATACTTATTATTTTTGTTTCTTAATCTGGGGTCAGCTATATGGGGGGTATCAAGAAGTTTGTGGAAATATGGAATTAAAGCATGAGTTGATTTGATTCGAATTTTTTTTAAATCCATGCATAGTTTATTCATAATGTACATTTCTTATAAACTTTGAGAAACCCCCCCCTCAGATATACTTTTTGCTCTGCCTTGCAAGGCTTCAGAGACCTCTGAGCACACTCTGCAGGCCCTGTCTGAGGCTCAGCCCCCACAGGGACCTGCCCTAGGGACGGGGAGGGCCATGCACGGATCCGGTTCACGTGAACCCTTGTGACGCGAGCACACAGACTTCCTGCAGGAAGCACTGCTGCTTGTCTTCCTCACTCAGATGCGATCGGGTGGATCTGGGGACTACAGACCGTCTTACTATGGCAGTCGGTGGACCCTGTGACACGGGCTGTCCCCTGCCAGCCCCTCCCCAGGCAGTGCTGCCCCCAGACCCTGCCTACCCTATATGGGGGCCCCCAGCCTCCAGCCAAGCTCCTACTCTGCGCCTTAGCCTTCCCTCGGTAACAGGGAAAGCCAATATGCACGACTGAGGTGGCCCAGCCGCCCCTCCTTGGCCAAGTATTGTGATATGAATAATCCAGAAATTCGTGCGCTGTGATAGCACAGAGGTGTGTGTTCTGACAGGATGTACAGCACGACGGTGCCCTTGGCTGTGCTGTTTTGGCACTTAGCCCCCCAGGAGTTGCAGACCGGCCTGGCATCCCTTGTAACAGGCAAGGCCAGCTCCCCTGGAGAGCAGAGCCCCGAAGCCACAGTCACTGTCCCAGACTGTTGTGACACTCGGCTAGGTGGCAGAGACACTCCGATCTTGCACTTCATTTCCCCAGAATTCATAGATTTTATTTAATCTAAACACACACGCACACGCACGCACACACAAAGGCAAGCCAGAAAATAACCGTAATATCTTCCTAAGTCAAACGAGCATGTGACACGTGAGTTGAACACCTGCTCCCAATTGCTCAAGTTCTGAGGAGCTTTAACATGAGACTTGATTGCTTAACGCTAGAACAAAACGACAATCTTTCCCAAAGAATTTTCTGGAAGAAGTATGCAGAATGAACCTGGAAGGTTTCAACCGCAAACCACAACCTTCCCGTCAGATGACTCAACTTTATCAGCTGCATTTGGTTGTTCATCAGCTATTTACCAAGACTCTGCCCCGTGCTGGGCATGGTCCCAGGCCAGGGGCATGAACAGGAGGACGATCCAGACACTTCCTCTGAGGGGCTCGCGGTCGGGTGAGGCAGGAGCAAACCTCACGGCTCCGTTGAGCTAGACGAGTGAAGTGCCTGGAAACTCAGAGGGGAGTCGAAGCCTCCTGAGGTGCTCAGTGAACTGGATCTTGAAGTGTGAGTAGGAGTTTGTCAAGGGCAGGTCAAAGGAAAGGTTAATCAAGATTAGGGAACAACATTTGCGACCACAGAGGTAGAGGGTCGTGCCCATTTGTGGATGAGAGCGTGGGTGTGCAGAAGTAGGCCGCATGGGGGGTAAGGTGGGGAGGGGAGGAGATTGGGGCAGGGCGGGGAAAGAGGCAGGAGGGCAGGCTGCGAGTGCAGGGCCAGGCATCCATTCATCCTTTACCAGAGGGAGGAGAGGCTTGTATTTTTGTGGGGTGGGGGGGTCG